TTCTGACAAATAACTTTTAAAACTACTTGCAATTTCGTTATCTGATGTTATGGGAGTATTGCCTATCACTAGCTTTATAGGTTCCCTGAATATCTTGGGTCTTCCAGATATACAGGTAACGATGTCCCATGTAGCTTTTATTTTATTACTAGAATTTAAAATCCTATTTCTTATGTAGATAGATTTTGCATGTATACAGACTTTTTTAAATATTTTTGAAAAATTTTGTACCCGTTTATGGAAGTTAGGGTCGTGATTCCACTGCCTCATATTATATAATTCATACAGTGAATCCCTACTTTTATATATACCCACTGTTGCCCAGTCACTAAATTTTAATTTTGATTTTTTAACAATTGTGCGGGGTTTAAAAATATGATTATAGGAAGTTATGAGAAAATCAACCATTGATCTATAACAATCATTAGCGTTATTGACTCCGATATCTTTATGGAATAAATGCTGTGCTACTTTATCTTTAAAAGAATTTAGTCTCCTAGCAGTGACTGGTCTACACCTGATCTTAATTTCACTTGTAGTAATGTTTTCATTTATTGAAAATTTTAAACCAAGATGATCAGAGCTCAGATAATTTATAATAGATTTGTCATATACTTCATTGTGACTGAAAACGTTATCGATACATGTGGAGGATAAGTTAGTAACACGAGTTGGTTCATAAAAAAGATTTTTAAGTTTGAATGAATTAAATAAATTTAAAAGCCGCTTAATATTTTTTAAGTGAAAGCTGCCGCCCATGGACACTTGCAACACCCGTAGTATTGCCGATACGTCGCCACCTTTAATAAAGTGGGCCCCGTGTACCTCACTCACCGGACGAAACGCAGCAGTAGAAATATAGTAAATGTAGAAGTGTTACTTCTATTTTTTCGTTTATGAAGATTATCATTAGACGCTACTTTTTAATTTGCTGATGATGACAGATCGCTACTTTTAATAATCTATGATTTTTTTTAAAAATAACATCACTGGCAAGATATAATTATCGTGAGTTTTAAAATGACAGTCAAAAACGTCACTCCCTTGACCGAGATGATATTGGCAGAATTCTTTTAAGAGAAACCATTAATTAAAGGAAGAAGAAGAAGAAGAAAAAAGTGACAGTCTAATTTAATAAAGATTTTTAATAAAGTGAGTTGCATAATCTAACTTTTGCAAAACCTCTTATAGCTCTGTTTTTGGAATGCTACAAACATGGCCAAAGATTTTATGAAAACGTGTCCGTCTCCTTTAGTTAATTAGGTAAAAAGGGTGTTGATTACAAAATTTCGCCCTTTGAGTGTTAACATGACTGTTTTTCATAATTATTAAACCTCTTTGATGTTGTAGCCTTTTAAACTTGAAAAACTTTTTAATTGTGATGGCGGCGGGAATTTATTTTAATATTAATGTAATTTGTAAGATTTGTTTATTTATACTAAAAGACTTTATCGTATGTATTAAAAGTATAAAGAAAAAGTGAGATAGGTATTATTTATTTTTGGCCCGAAGTGAATAAAATCTCCCGAAAACAGCAATAATAGGTACCAAATAACCATGACAAACTTCTTTAAAACCCAATTATTCTTTCATGGTTGTATCAATCCCACTGTCCCACTAAAATTATAAATGTGAAAGTATGGATATGGATGGATGGATGGATGAATGAATGGATGTTTGCTACTCTATCACGTGGCTGAATTTATCTGAATGGAATTTTGTCCAGAGAAAGATAGTCTGGAATAGCATATAGGCTACTTTTAATCCGTGTTGGACCATTTTTTACCTTTTCCTGTCTGATTCTAGACCCACCCAATTTATTGAAACGTAGAATTTTATAAAAATAAAATAAAACAATTAAAAGTATAAATATGAAAATAATTTCAATATTTTTATAAAATGGTTATATTTTAATATCCTATTAGATTATTTCACCTGAGGATATAACATCAACAAAGTAATGTTAACGGTGACAAGCCTTTATACTACAAAGGTTGACATACAATATAAAACAATATTGTGCCTGCGTAGCTAGTTATTCGGTATATTTGAAAATTATGATTTTATGAATTTGCGCGGTTGTGTTTACATGACTGTGTTTGATGTCAGTTGTTCAAATGATTTTTGAGATTTTTCACAAATATATAAGTAAAAGCAATGTGCTCCTGTGAAATATTTGTAATCTGATGCTATTGAAACAATACTAAAATGTGAATTAAAAAATCGGCAATATTCCAGTGGTGGACGAAATATTTCAGAAACAAAAGACAAAAACGATTTATTTAGAAATATTTCTTAATTTTAGAAAAGCCAAAACTAGACTTGCTTTTAGCCGGTGTGACGTTCCCTGTTTTGCTGGCTCTAGATAGTTTCATCCATTTATCAAGTAACTTAATGAGCTTGTGTCATCACTTCAATGACACAATTAACTTACTTCCGACAACTGGAAGGTTTAATGTCGTACGTGTATGCTGTAGTATAATCATTTTAGTCAAAATAGTATAATTAAAGATTTAGCATAGTAAAGACAGGTTGCTTTCAGCTGATTTTTTTAATGTGAAAATTTATCAAGCTAGCTGGCGGTTCACCTGATGTTTAATGATAACCGCCACCGATGGACAATTGCAACACCCGTAGCGTTGCACATGCGTTGCCATCTTTTAGTAAAGTGGACTCTGGCCACCTCATTCACCAGACGAAACGCAGAACGATGTCTTCGGTGGTATTACCCGGACGGACCTGCCCATTCGTGCTACGGCGAAGCTAGTGCTACCACAGCTATAATATTTTCTCCTTACAAGTAAATAAATAATAAATTAATAAATATCTAAGACACATTTGTACACAACATTTTTCTAGTCCCAAACTAAGCAAAGCTTGTACTATGCGTACTAGAAAACTCATACTTAAACATACTTTTCTTTTGTAAATAAATACATATTATACATATAGAAACACCCAGACACTAGAAAAACACCATGTTCATCACACAATATTTTGCCAGTAGTGCGGATCGAACCCACACCCTCTGACGCAGGAGACAGGAACACTATCCACTACGCCATTCGGGTCGTCAATTAAATTTTTCTCACGATATCTCTTGCTATGCAGTTGCAGCTTAGATTGCTTACTCATGATAATCATCGTCATTCCAGCATGTTTGAATCCACTGCTAAACATTCACTGCTTATTCATCTAGGTGCAAAATGAATTTGAGATGAGTAAACTGACAATGGTATCCTTTTTAACTTTTTATTAAAACCAAATTGAAAACTTTAGATTAGGTTAGATAAGCAAAAAGCTGAGGATAGCTTAGGTAAGGTTAGGGTTGGTTAGCAGTAACTAAGGTTAGTTTAGCATCAAATGAACAGCTGGCCAAAAACTCCTCAGTATTTTCTCGAATGTACTAATATTGCGTAATTATAGGGTATACAATGATATAAACCCTATTACTTGCCCTATGCACTAATATATACAAAAACCTTTAAGACCAGTCACCTTATAAGGCAGCTTTCTGCTTGATAAAAATTTCCTTTGTCGAAATTTATCAGTTCATCCTTTCCTCCTTTAGAATAATTTAATTCGGAGACTTTAGAGACCATAAAATAGAATTATCCGAACAAAGTTTTGTAGCAATACTTTAGACAACAAAACGGCCAATTCAAATCTACTTACGAGTGAAAAAGCTTTCCTCTTTTTCTCAAATTGGTTTTCTCGCTAAAGCAATACAACGTGCTAATGGAATAACAAGATTGCAATTATTTCAGCACCTTGAAGAAAGATAAATGTAAATAAACCTCTTCAAAAATCTTTTACAAACAATGATTATTTAAAGGAAACATTATGATTGCTATTACTTATGACATTGTATTTTCAAATTCACATAAATAATTTTATATTGAGGGACAAATAATTGGTACAGAAAAATACTAAACGGAATTAAAAGGAGCACAATTAATGAAAAAAAAAAAAAACCGTCTAAGTGCAAGTCAGTCTCGCGTACAAAGGGTTCCGTACCATTTATCTATAAAAACAGCAAAAAAATCATGTGTGTTGTATGTGAGCTCCACTTAAACATTTTTATTGTTTTTTCATTTCTTGTTATAACGGCAACGGAAAAACATCATCTGTCTATCTGTCTGTCACGGCTCAAGAGGTACAGCCTGGTGACAGATAGACAGACGGAAAGACAGACAGATTTACAGCAGAGTTTTAGAAATAGGTTTCCGTTTCACCCTTTAGGTACGGAACCCTAAAAACAACTTGTATCATGTAAGAGTGTCATAATAATTGTGTGTATAAATTTTCAGAATGCCTGTTTAATTCAGTAACCAATTATATTAAAACTTGTAGACTTTAAATACCTATTATAGTCAAAACATCAGGAATATTTTCTAGACAATTACAATTACCTTATAACAAAAAAAATATACGTTACCTTATCGCCACGTGGATAAATTTCTGCAATGTCACAATGTTACATGAGAAGAAATCCCTTTATTTGTCCAACAGGCCACCAATGCGGTCAAACAGGTGAATAAAGTTTGATTTACACAGCGGTTTGTTTAGGACGACAAACGAACCGAAAAAACTGTCATGTAAGCTCCCACTTAAGTCGTTGTTTAGAAGAATGTTCGCAATTAAGGGTAAAAAAAGTATCGCAGATAATAATTAGTATCAGAAAATGAAATGATAATCTTCAACTGATCGAACTACTCGTTATATTTTGAATCTCATATAAATAATAGAACAAGTAAACGGGTCGATACAAAAAATCGGCCAAGTGCGAGTCGGAGTCGCGCACCAACGGTTCTCTACCATTATTAATAAAAACGGCTTAAAAACATGTCTGTTGTATCGCAGCCCACTAAAATATTTTTATTCCTTTTTTTTTAGTATTTTTTGTTATAGCGGTAACAGAATTTTTTTTTTTTTTTTTTTTTTTTTTATGGGAAAAAAGCAGCAAACGAGCAGGAGGCTCACCTGATGGTAAGTGATCACCGCCGCCCATGGACATCTGCAACACCCGAGGGCTTACAAATGCGTTGCCGGCCTTTTAGGAATGAGTACGCTCTCTTCTTGAAGGTTCCCAGGTCGTAACGGTTCGGAAAGACCGCCGGCGGCAGCTGGTTCCACAGAGTGGTTGTGCGAGGCAGGAAATGCCTTGAAAATCGCGCTGTTGTGGAACGCTGGACATCGAGGTGGTGTGGATGAAATTTTTGGTTTTGGCGCGATGTCCGATGGTGAAATTCAGCCGCTGGGATCAATCCAAACAATTCCTCGGAACACTCCCCGTGATAGATGCGGTAGAAGATGCAGAGTGACCCAACATCTCTACGCATAGCCAAAGGATCAAGCTGATCGGAAAGACCTTGATCGTCGATAACCCTAGCTGCCCTACGTTGGATGCGGTCAAATGGAAGAAGCTGGTAACAGGGGGCTCCCGCCCAGAGGTGAGAGCAGTACTCCATGTGGGGCCGAATTTGCGCCTTATAAAGGTTTAGGCGTTGAGCCGACGTGAAGTACTGCCTCGCCTTGCTGAGCACACCGAGCTTCTTTGAGGCCAATTTGGCCTTACTTTCCAATTGACCGCGGAACTGGACATTGCTCGAGATTTCGACGCCAAGTATTCCGATACTAGCTGTGACAGACAGGGGAGTGTTCTCAAAATGAGGAGTCACGACAAATGGGGACTTTTTAGCGGTTAACGCGCAAACTTGTGTCTTATCGGGGTTGAATTGGACTAAATTTAGTCGACCCCAGTCTGAGACTTTTGTTAACAAAGTCTCGACTTCAGACACAAGTTTGTTCCGTCTCTCGTAGACGTTTTCCCGAGAAATGTTAGCACGGCCTGTGTACGAAACATCCACAGTGCTATCATCCGCATAGCAATGAACGCTGCTGATTTGCAACATATCATTGATATGCAGAAGAAACAAAGTGGGGGACAGTACGCAGCCTTGTGGAACACCAGCATTGACAAATTTAGGATCAGAGCATGCACCGGCGACGACGACCTTGATGCTCCGATCTGCCAAAAAGCTAGTGATCCAGTTGCATAACTTCCCGGGAAGCCCATAGGAAGGCAGCTTCGAAAGAAGTGCTTTGTGCCACACCCGATCAAAGGCTTTCGCTACGTCCAGACTGGCTGCAAGCGCCTCCCCCTTGCTCTCAACTGCTTCTGCCCATCTGTGTGTCAGGTAAACCAGAAGATCACCGGCTGAGCGACCTCGACGAAAGCCGTACTGGCGGTCGCTAATCAGCTGGTGCTCCTCTAGGTACCGCAGGAGCTGGCAGTTAATGATGGTCTCCATTATCTTGGAGAGCAAGGAGGTGATGGCTATAGGCCTGTAGTTGGACGGATCCGAGCTGTTGCCTTTCTTAGGGATCGGGTGCACTAAAGCGGCCTTCCAGGTTTTCGGGAATACACCTAGAGTATAGGAGAGCCGGAAAAGACGCGTCAAAACCGGTGCCAACTCTGGAGCACATGTCTTCAACACGATCGGAGGGATGCCATCGGGCCCACTCGACTTATGAATGTCCAAGGAAAAGAGTGCTCTGCGAACTGCACTTTGCCGAAATTGAACCTCCGGCATCGTAGCATCGCAACGCGGGATTGTTGGTGGTAATTTTCCTCGGTCATCCAAAGTCGAGTTGGACGCGAAGAGAGAGCCCAGAAGATCGGCTTTCTCCTTCGCGGCATGGGCCAGCGAGTCATCCTCCGTGTGCAGGGGTGGAAAAGAAGGCTTACAGAAATTTCCCAAGACAGCTTTGGCGAGAGACAAAAACGCACGTGTTCCCGTTGGGAGACGCGCCAATCTCTCGCCAATTCTGCCAATGTGTTCCGATTTCGCCTTAGCAATAACACTTTTGAAGGACCTAGAGGCAGAGTTATACGTCTTTTTTTAAAGCGCTGGTTTTTACATCACTAGACGACGAAGCGTCAGCCCAAGCCTGGTAGCATTCCCGCTTTCGGCGTAATGCCAACTTACAGGAGCGACCAAACCAAGGCTGCGACTTGCCACCAATGGGCACTGCAGAGAACGGAATATAAATATATCATCTGAGAAAATTTCAACCATCTAATTATCACGGTTCATGAGATACAGCCTGGTGACAGACGGATAGACAGACAGACAGACTCCGGCATGTTAGTAATAGGGTCCGGTTCTACCCTTTGGGTACGGAACCTCGACACTATTAAAGAAACCACACCATGAGGGTATTAAAGTTCTGTTGTACATTCACCATAATTACTTAACAAAACCAACAACAAAATTAATGGACACAATTTAAGGTCATGTTTTCCTCTCTACGCAAATGCTGTGAGGAAAAGCGGAACTTTCTCTTAATGGGAGTTCAGAAATACCCATTTTCTGAATTACGTACGTACATATCCCCGACCACGCGATTAGGGAAGTAGTATGATCTGACATTAAGATTGTTATTAAAATCGACGCTACAGTTAACAGTGAAATGGTGTAGTCTACTTTAAGCAAATTTGCACAAAGTTGAGTGCATGATTTTGGAACCGAACCTTTATACAAAATAACGACAGGCGACTGACTGGTCTAAAGATAAAATGAGTAGCTATATTTAACCTGTTACACTGTATGTATATTGAGGCTTTATAAACTATTCACCGCTAAATACATTATAGTAAAGAAGAAAAAGAGAAGAGCATAGGTTTAATCTACTTAAAAACTTACTAGAAATTTACTTACTTACTATACACTCAGTACACATTTAAAAATATCTACTAAGTAGACATTTTTAAATGTCTACTTAGTCTATGAGAAACCGACCTCATACGTAATTAGAAAATGAAGTTCAATATTTTGGGTTAAAAATTTTATCCACCTACGTACGTAAGTTTAAAATGCTGCAGATGGTAATGTTGTGTTGACTTTAAATAATAATGGATACGTAAATAAGTTAAATTCAGTTGTGCGTGTGAAACAATAAATATTATTACACCTTTATCAAAGGTATGAATGCAGATAAATACACATAGTTATGTATAAAAGGTTTTATACCTCTCTTAATAACTCACTTTCAATAATTTGTTACTTTTATCTTATTTCTTAAGCGAGCTTACTCCCTTATTTAACACATGTGATTGTTGTTAATCTAACAGATTCATTATAACCTACAATATTACAAGTTTTCTACCTCTTTAACCTACAAGATTACCTTGTACTTTTACTACCCTTGTGGATTAAATTCATATTTCGATGTTATAAGCACTGCCTCGAAATATACCTCGAATATCCAATGCTCTTTAGAAGCGTGCACTTTGATAGACGGCGTGATAAATTCACTTGAAGCACTGCCGAGGTTACACCTTCTCGAGCGTTCCGGCACTTTATTGTCTTGCTCGTGTCCTCTCTACGGCAGGTGCGATGTAGCACAATTAAGCTTGGTGTATATTTCAATAAATTTGTTCTTCAAACACCATGTTTTTTTGCAAATAATTATCGTTTTATTCAGTAAATCATCAATGTAAGTTATACGTCCTTACAATATCGCTCTTTGCAAATATCTAATATGAGCATCTGCTGGTCATTTCTCATGTGAGCTGTAAGCTCGTTTGTTACCTACCACATTGAAAAACAAATTTGTAAGAGATTTCTAACAAACCTTATTACACGCGTGCAACCAAAACATTAAAAAAAATTAAAAGTGGCATGTTCGTGCAAGGCGAGTTGCACAAAAACCACCCTATGCAGAGCTTTTTTGATACTTACACCGCTTTTTGTGCATAACTTGTTAATTATGCCTTAATTTATGGGTGGTGAGAATGCAGTCGAACGCACTAATTATTATTCGTAATTTGTGACATAAAAAACTCATAAACTATGTATGCATCGTTGCTTAATATTGAAGCAGATATAAAAAAACAAAGGGCAATTTCATTAATCTCGTGGCCCTCGTACAGAGCCTACTTTATAACACATAATAAAAACTCAATAGCGGCCATTGTGAAATTTGCGTGTGAAAATACTCAAATGTACCTTTTGTGTTCGTTTTTCACTGTAAAAGAGATATTAGGGCTATAGCTCTTTGTTGCATTCATCATCGAATACATTAGTCACGTAAATGGACTTTCCTAGGTTTGAATCCAAATTTTCACGAGTTCGATAAAATATTCTTCTTTTTAAATTTTTAAGAAGGATTCATACTTTTTTTTTATGCGAAAAGTTGTCAAACGAACAGACGGTTCTCCTGATGTTAATTGAATTACCGAAATTTTTTTGTTTTAATTGAAAATACCGCCGCCCATGGACATCTGCCACACCAGAGGGTTACAGATGCGCTGACAACCTTTTGAAAATTGGGCTCCAGCTACCTCACTCACCAGACGAAACACGAAAGTATTTGTCATACTTCCACTTTACGCTGGTCTTCTGTGAGGTCGTGGTACTTACCCGGACGGGCCTGCCCATTCCTGCAACAGCTGTGGCTGCTGCGTGGCCCTACCACCCTAAAAAGGGTGGATATTAGGGTGGATTCATACTCTGATTGAATTAAAAAAAAGTGGCAACCAATCTGACTCTTTATTTCACATTAAGTGTATAAGATAAGATTACAGCTGCCTATAAAGTCCATAACAAGGTTGGAGTGACAATCCTCTGAACGAATTCCAAACTTGGTAAAGGCTCTGTAGACGCGGCTTGGTTCTCCACGGTGAAGCCCAGAGGAAACCACAAGCAACCGGTTTGTAGTGTAAAATCGGTCCGAGAAAGTCACTGGTAGAGGATCAATGAGTGCAATTTCAATGCGCACATGGAAAATACTGGGAATGAATCAAACGTATCAGTTTATAGTACATACCATGCTCATCTGCAGCCAAAGTATCGCAGCTGAAGAGGAGCATTTTTATAGCCTTTGACAGCCATTCTCTCAATACACCTAATCTTGATAGGTCTGCTCCACTTATACAAAGGTAAAGGAGAAGGCACGGGGGTGAAATAATGGGAACGATATAGTTACAGGCCTTATATTGGCGATATACTGGAGGTCCAGAGGACATTGCCCTCTGAGCTGGAAGTTCGTTATTCTTGCAAAAGAATCTGATCAGGCCGGTGCGCTACCTATTTTTGTGTACCATGTACGAAGAGAGAGGTTCGGCACAACGGAGAATTTGTTTGGTGGTGTACCAGACCGCTCCCACAGCTCTGTTGAAAGGTGCCGTAAGTTATAAGAAAAGTCGCTACCGCCCATAGACATCGAAAGAGTTACAGCTAAAAGCAAGTAGTGTCTACACAGTCTCATACTGGAAATAAAGTAGGTATAAATATTTCTATTGAGATGTTTCCTTCGAATCGATCTCTATTTAATATTAACTATAATTATTACATATTTAACATATTTAACATTTCAAATAAAAAATAAGGTCGATCAACCTTATTTTTTATTTGAAATGTTGCTAAGCGAGCAGACGGTTCACCTGATATTAAGTGAATACCGTTGCACATGCGTTGACAACCTTTTGAAAATTGGGCTCCGGCTACCTCACTCACCAGTCAAAACGTGAAAGTATTATACTTCCACTTTATGCCGGTCTTCTGTGAGGTCGTGGTACTTACCCGGACGAGCCTGCCCATTCGTGCAACAGCCGAGGCGGCTGCGTGGCTCTACCACCGTTAAAACTTATTGGGACTGTTGAACGACTCACATTTGGAAACCTTACCAAAAGCGCAATAGTAAAAATTCAAAACTGTCTGCTATGTTTCGCAAATGAGTGTATGAGCAATCTAATGTAAATGTTTCCAATACCCATTTTGCTTTTTGCTGATGCGTACTTGTTTCTCACTTGGTCCAGTCGACCTCTATCAGATAAATTGATGTCAGCAAATAAGCAATCGACATTTATTATACCTCTGATTAATTCAATGGATTGCTATTATTACAAATGACTGTATTAATGATGATTGGATTGAAGTATACTATACTATATGATTGGTATAAACTTAGTGGTTATTATGTAAATAGTCGCTAGTATCGGGTTTGAACCCTATTGGTATTAACGAATTGTCGTTATGTCTAAAAATGCACATGCTATAATCTTTATTCTATTATTCTATTATGTACGAGCTGCGCCGCTCAATAAAATTAACATATTTAACAGTTATACTATTTCATCATACCATAGTTTCTTATCTGATTTCATATTTATTATATTTAATGTCTGATTAAAAGATGACTTAAATTGAAATATAATATTGTCTTTGTAAATGAAAATAAAAATCGCTAAGACTAAATTAAAATAAATGTCAAGAAAAATTATAAAAAGATGGTTTACCGCTTACTTATTTTTATTTACATTAGTGACATTCAGCAGCATGTTCGTAGCTGTATGGACAAATGTTGCCTGGCCACACAGCTTGCTAAAAATGCCATACAGAACGTTGTTAGATGTCGAGTTTTTCAGGTTTTTAGATAATGGTCTGCTTTGCTTCGTCGGTAAATTTACCCGAAACACCTAGGTTTGAATCCCGGAGTACCGAACATTTTTATCAATTATAATAAAAAAAAAATCGTCTTGAGTTCAGAGCCTTTCTTTTTTTAAAATGGGGAAATCCATTTGGATGGATACCTGGCTCTCCGGTAAGCGAAGAACCAAGTTATGTTGCACTCACACCGACTAAAACCCCATGGTGGTCGCCATCTGCTCTGATGTGGGGTCACGGGATCTACATTCAGAACACTACCGTGGCCCGTCCTTAGATTGCTTATGATAGCCCTTCGAGGACGGTATTACGCTGGCCCCAGCATCCCCGCGGTGGAGACTTCTTAAAGCCACCGACCTCCTTTAGGGGGCTTTACTCGATAATTAATGGCTTCACCCCAATTGCTCATGACCACTGAGGCCCCGTTTCTGGTTGGGAACTCCTTTCTGTTTGGAGGGCCGTGACGAGGCACATGTATGTGTCGGTGGCCCCGTCTCTGAGTGGGATCAGTTCTTTCTCGATCCCGCTCAGCGGCCTGTTTCTGGACCATCCCAGTTTCACAGAAAGATGTTACGGCGCTCCATGCCTTTTCTCCTCTCATCATCGCCGAAACGACTGCTGGCAGATTGAGATTTGCCCAATGTGGCCCACCAAGACACTCCGCTCCGCATCCCCGGAGGGGCACACCGATAAGGTATGCGTTACGTAGTCTTCGTCGTTTCCACCACAGAGGAAGCAGATCGCCGTCGCCTCAAGTCTACCTTACATATAATCACTAAAGTATCCATGCCCTGTGATTATCTGTGTTAGCCTGAAGGTGAGTCAACCCTCTCGCCCCCGCAATATCCCATTAGGGAAAACCATTACCGGTATGTGTTGTAATATACACTTTCGGCAACATTGCTTAGGACAAGAGTCCGCGTATATACACGCAAGTGTATATATTTATACAGACAGAAACACATAGACACACACACGTGCGCACATGGATACAGTCAATTTATTTCCTTACGAGGTTATATTTCCTATTTGCTTACCATCTGGTGACATGTTGCCTTATTTAAAAAAAAAATGGCGATAGCCATGGTAAAGTACCTTCATGGAAATCGCACAGCGCTACCCGAATTGGTAGCACAAAAAGTGCAGAAGCGTGAATAATTTTAGCTGCTGATATTGACAATGCTAGAAACGAATAGACCATTGGACCGCCCCAATGATAAAGCTTAATTTTCCGCTTTGTTCCGGCTTAAACATTACAGAATTCCATTTAAATGTATGACGTTGCTAAAATGTAGAACAAGAAGTTTTATTATTGTTATACATATAAACGCAACCCTTTTATAGTTTTATTTATTTA